TTCAAGTTCTCCATTCTCCACCTAGATGATCTTCTTTGACTATTTTTAATGCTTCCTACTTTACCTAAAATTCTGACTGTTTAAAAAGGCCTCCTTCTTAGTTTTTTTTTTATTTTTTTAATTTCAACTTGAGACTTGCACTGTTCCCTCCTAACTTGGGGGAAATGTTTCAATTCAAAGAAAATAGCTGTAAAAATGCGTGTCACACCTCCCCATGGCGCCCGTTCCCTGATCTAACATTCATTCGTGAAGGTCACCAAGGTAACCATGCCCCAAATGTGGAGCCTCTTATTTATAGCTTTGCCCACCCACTTTTGTTTTACATGACATTGAAGAAAATCGAAGCATTAAAGTGCTTTCCCCTCCTTGAGCAGTCACTTTTGAGAAAATAGGAACATTGGAATATTTTAAATCACTCAAAATTGAACATTTTTAATAATAGCCATTCTTCTCATAATTATCACCACTCATTTTCATTTTTACTAAATGGACTCTTGAACATGACATCCAAATCTTGGAAGAGAAGTGTAAATTATTTTTATTTGAATTTAGAAATTGGTCATTTGCACAGATGTTGACTATGTGTTGCCCTCCTTAAACTTTCAATTTGTTTTTATCACACACACATGCAAAGGTTCTGCCTGCGTGTACATATGTGCATGCAATGCCATAGCAGAGAAGAGGGGTACCAGATGCCCCGCGACTAGAGTTTCAGGTGATAACTTGTGCATGCTGGGGATTGGTCCCAAGTCCTCCGTGAGAGTACAAGTACGCTTAACCACTGTGAGTTATCTATCTCTCCAGCCCCTGTTTTGTTTTTGTTCTTTTTTTTTTTTGAGACAGGGTTTCTCTGTGGCTTTGGAGACTGTCCTGGAGCTAGCTCTTGTAGACCAGGCTGGCCTCGAACTCACAAAGATCCGCCTGCCTCTGCCTCCCGCGTGCTTGGATTAAAGGCATGGGCCACCACCACCCAGCATTTTTGTGCTTTCTTAAAGGCACTTTGATCATGCCTAAAGTTATTCCTTCCCAGAACAGACATCTTGCTACACTAGTAACCATTAAAATCAGAATGAATAGCCCTTGCTGTGTCCTGAGATCACCACTGTTTTTCAGTTAGTGTGTTTGTTTTGTTTCTTGTTTTTGTCTGTTAAGGTATATTCTCTAGGGGATACAGGTGTCATCTGGGGGAAAAGGTGGTATGAGATTACATCTAGAATTATGAACAAGTTTTCCAGATATAATTTTCACACATGATATGAAACAACACTGGGAGAAACTTAACCAGAAGCAGCATCTGTTCAAATATGGAAGCGTAAAAAACAACCAAGTTCAACTTATTAAATGTACCAGTGGGACTTCAACACCCTGTGAGCTCGCCAATGCCCCCTGGGTGGAGACCTTTCCACTAGTCAGAATACACATCATGGTGTTTGCCTTGAACAATCATAGCTGCTGCCCCTAGCGTTTGCTAATTTCAAAAAGCTGTATTTCAGTCTCCCCACCTTCTGTGAAAATGGCGTCCTCACCCCGTCTGATGAAGCCATTGGAAAGCAGAATATCAACCCTGGCCCCATCTCTACTACGCAAACTTGTCCTAGGAAATTAGTAGCCTACACACATACAACACATATTACAGAGCCTGGGACCCTTCCTTGATGCTTCTTCTTGTCCTTCTCATGGCTTCTTAGGTTTGTTCTGTTGTGTTTTAAACAAGATTTTCCATATTTCTCAGACCGCCTCCTTATCCAGCTTCATTAATAAGGCAATCGATTAAGTCTTCAAGACTAAGTTGGAAAGCAATCTCAGGCATGACTCTGCCTCATGCCCTCAGTGCACAGGGCGGTGACAGCAGCAATTCCCAGTGCTTCCACTTGCTCAGTAGCTGCCTAGTGAAGGAGTGAAAGCTGCCATGTTTTTTTCTTCTTAGCTTTTTCCTGTGGCAACTTGACATTACATGTGTCAATGGACTTCTGTTCTTAATCCTAATTGAGTCTGTCTGTTCTCCCATAGTAAACTTTTGATAAAAGAGTTAAGTTTTGTTCTACTATTTTGCCTGACACCTACAACTGTCTGTGACTCCCATTAAGTGCTTGATACCTAGCTGGAATAAGCAATGATGACATTTTATGTTCTGCTCGGGTTTAGGAAGACCTTGGCCAATCCCATTGACTTCCTCTTCTGTGAGTGGCAAATAACTCAGGAACTTCTTAAGAGGGTGCTCTGTGCTAGCAATCTTACTTAATTTTATTTGAATAGGGTGAGAAACAAGAAGATTTCAGTGAATTAGGTCATGAAGCTTTCTTTGAAGAAAATTAGTACCAGAGAGACCTTCAACATGCACTGATGGAAATGGCCCCAGTGAGAGAACCAATCTGTATTTTGTCTAATAATTAGTAAGCGATGAAGAAAATATACTTATTGAGTGAGGCAAGAGATATATATGAGAGTTAAAATGCAAATAGAATTAAAAAGGTAAATACTAGAGTATTACTTATTACTGAGGATTTTTTATTGTAAAAAAAAATCAAAGACGGTGGCAAAGGCCAAACTTCCTAACAGCTCATGTGTCTAGCCCCTCCCCTCTCTCTCTTCAACTTTCTCTGTGTTTGCAATGCATCTTCTCATCCATATTTAACACATCTCTTGCCTCAACCGTGATTATATTAGAAATTCAAGATAAGTGAAACCATGTTTCAAGAAATATCTTCTCTTAGTTTGTTTTAAAGGCATCTTTTTGGTATACCTGCCCTTCCTCTCCTTCAATGCCCCTTTCTTCCTCTTTTCTATCACTCTTAACCTCTTTGTTTTTCAAGGGAAATTGCATTTGGTTATTTTTTGATTGCATCCTAAAAAGTGATTACCAAAATATTATGCTATTTGGTTGCCTTAATATTTAAAATACTAGTCTTTAATGGTAAGAGAATGTGGGCTGAAATGGATAGATTTGTGCAATGAAAATGTTCTCTTTCCTTAGTACCCCAGGGAAGGGGGGAAGATGCATCCTTTGAAAGCCTACTGAAAAAGCTGTGACAGACATCTGGAGGCCAATCCTTCACTGGGTTCTTTTCTGACTCTAAAATTCAGACGACCTACCTCTCTTGTCTTTGCCTCTGTTCACTTGGCCATGAGCACATTTGTAATCTGCTCTTCCGAGTGTTCCTTTCCCTGCATTATCAATTAGAGACTTTAATTTTATGAACTGTCCTCTCTATGTCATTGTTGCCATCACTTTCTTTTGTTTTTGTTTGTTTGTTGTTTGAGACAGGGTTTCTCTGTGGACTACCACTGTAGAACAGGCTGGCTTCGAACTCACAGAGAGCCATCTGTCTCTGCCTCCTGAGTGCTGGGATTAAAGGCGCTATCCTATCTTTTTGACTGTTTTATGTCTTGAAATATTCTTCAAACTTAGAAGCATTCAGAGACTTTTAAGCTGTAGTATATTGATTTTTTGTGTGATATACTAGTGGAAATCATAATTTGGGAAGAAATATTACCATACTGAGTTGTACTATTTCAATTTTCAAAAATATCAGTCTATTACCCCTAAGTTAATTTTTGTTTTGATACGAGAGTTCAGCCTTTATTCTCCAGATTCTGTTGTTCAGAATGTTGTAGGAGGAGCTGTGGGCTGTGTCCCACTGCCTAGCTAGCTTATATCCCAAAATAACCACACAGAAATGTATTAGTTAATTAGTGCCTGGCCCATTATCTCTAGCCTCTTATTGGCTAACTCTCACATCTTGATTTAACTCATCTCCATTAATGTGTATCTCCACTTGACTGTGGCTTACTGGCATGAGTCTAACCAGCGTCCATCTAGGGCAGGAGAACCATGGCATCTGCCGCACTGCTCTTCTTCCCAGAATTCTGTTCTGTCTACTCCACCTATCTAAGTTCCACCCTATCAACTAGGCCAAGGCAGTTTCTTTAATAACCAATGAAAGCAACACAAATATAGAAGGGCCTCCTACACCATCAGAACATGCAAAGACAACCTTAAAAAGCCAGACTTCAACCTAAGAAAAGCCCCACTGTCAAAATTAAAATAAATTTAATTTTTAATGATAAATTTTTAATCATAGTGAGGTAGTATAGTACCAGACTACCTGCAGCCCCAGTGGTTCTTTGTTTAGTTCCTGGGTTCATTCATTTCACTCTGCTCCTCCTAGATTCAATTTCTCAACATGTAAAATTGGCCTGAGGATGTATTGTTCTTAAATTGTACTAAGAAACAAGCCAACAAATATACAAACCACAACAGTCCAATGAGATAACATATATGAGGGACCTTGAAAAGTCAAAAAAAAAAACCTGTGATAACCATTTTAAGCCTCATTCACAGCTATTTACCTATCGTTAAAAAATATGATGTCCTAGGCTTTACCAACTCATCACAGAACTTCCTTCCAAATTTTTAGAGGGCCGTGCTATGCAGTCAAGAAATATAATTTATCCAAACCAACAGCTTGATTGATTGTTTAGAATATATTTAATTTGATGTGTCACATTTTCATGATCTCAGGCTCTCTAGTCGTATTCAATCATAAATTAGCAAAAGACACAAGTGAAGAGACTTCACTAAGCACAGACCACTACAGCTGGAAGGACTAAAGGGAAAGATAAAATAACCAGTCATTTGTTCTCCTTTCATACAGTGGCCTTAGGTCCAGATGTTAGATCTTCATGAAAATTTCTATCACATGGAATTAGTGGCTTCATCTAATTTTAAGAACCTAGAAAGTTAATAATGAAAAACTTCATAAACATGCCTAATATTCTCCTATAAAATTAAAATAAGCTTCACTGACTATTTGTTGATTTCAACTGAAATGTACTCAGAAGATGTGTCTTTGTCTGGAAAGGAATGCTATCTTCCCCCCGAGAACCTGAGCTTGTCACAGACATCACTTGCACAGGCAAGGCAGATCTCATTGCCCTCTCCAACGGTGCATTGTTCTTCCTGTCCCTTTCTGATGTTTCTAACCTCTGTTTGCCTCGAGGGAGAAGACTCCAGTGGAGGACACTCTTTGAAATCCTACATGGAAGAAGTGAGTTTTAAGAGGACCTCACAAATATAACATGCCATCTGTCTATCATGTGAGATGAAACACTCACCTGGGCTTTTCCCATCCATCTCCTGTTCACTGGCCATGTTTAGAAACGTACAATAAATACCATTATCAAAATTGCTTTTGTTCCTCATTGATAGAGAGGTGCTTTCTATCCAGTTATCCCGACAATGAAGGAGAAAGTCCATGAACCTAGTACTGCCACATGTTTTCATTCACAAACATTTGTTGATATACTTGTAAATGAGAAGCATATGTTTTGTACTGGAAATGGACAAAACAGAGGAAAGAAAAAAAAAGAAAGACACAATCTTATAATAGGTCAGCACTCATTCATGTGACAAATGCCTGTCATGGTGCTATTTACTGTACCTATCAAAATGTAAGGCACATTCTTGGAAAATGCCTTAGATTCTTGGGTTTCTTTGTAAAGATACTGAAGAGTGTTCTGTGTCACAGAGCTTTGCACTGACTGACAGGCATTTGGAACCCCTCAGAATGTTTGCAGAGCCCCTGAGACCTGAAGCAAACCCCTGACACTCATTAAGAAAGCCCCGTCTCTGCAGAGAGTGAAGGCCGTTCAGTGACAGGACCTAATACTTGGACGGAATGTTACTTCTCAACAGGAAACTACCTGTTCTGCACCTCTTTCTAATTCAAGAGTCTATTCAAAAGACCTCAGATCTGAGCACACTATGTGGTTCTTATCAGGATGGTGCATGGGTACTGAAATTCTCACTTGTTTCCAAATATCACAAGGAGAGGAATGTGGAATGCACATTCTCTATAGGTTTGCTTATCTATCCAGAGATAATTGACGCTTTCCAAAAAGCATGGGAAGGAGGAATGATTGACAGGAAAGAAATAGCTAGAAAGATGTAGAGGTTCACAAGCAGCAAAATGAATGGGAAAACACAGTAGGATTAGAACACTAACCTTCAATTTACTGAGTTTGATACAAAGACTTAGAATATATTTGAACAACTGATGTTACACACAGGGAAGAAAATATATTTTTCAGAGGCCCACCAATATTTTGGAATTTGTGGTCAAGTAAGTTCTTGAACCCAGCCTCACTATTTGTTGGTAGGGCTGAACCATAGGCTTCCACAGAAAGGCTGGGGATGCCTCTTGCTTTAGTCTAAGGCAGTGAAAGGAGATTACGGAGGTTTGTGTGCGCTATGGGTATATACCAAGAATAAGCTTGGTAGGAGTTTTGTTGTGTGTGCCTTCTCATTAGAAGTGCTTTGCAAGGCTTACTGCCGATCACATCAACCCCAGCTGGAATCTTAGAATTCACTCAGAACCAAGGACTTAGTCTTCTTGCTAAGCTTGCTACGGTCTTCATGGTTTATAAATACCCTAAGCTATGGAAAGCAGTTCTGTATCTAGTTCTTTATGGCATGATTTCTAGAGACTGAAATCATGCTTTGTGGGGACCCTTCCCCCATTCTGTATTCTATAAAAAGAGGAAATATTTATTAATGCGTTGGAGTGTTGTGTATACTCATCTGTTCTCAGTCATGCTTTGCTTGTTTAATGGAAATATAAATCTTTTTAGTTTATGGGATTCATTACTGACTGTCAGAGTGTGTTTTCAAGTGTGTGTGAGTCATTCAGTGTAAATGTTACCTGTCTATCACTATGGTTCATTATTGCATGGGATTATCATTTTATATAGATTGATGTTTAGGTGTTAGATATTCACAAATGAATAAATTATGATAACAGTAAAATTGTATAGTCTTTATTAGTGACTTATGACTTAGTATGGTTTTTTTCAAACTTTTATGCATTTTGTCTTTGGGAAATAAACACTCAACTTCTCCACTGGAAGCTTGTTTACAATGTGAGACATCAAATGGCATTTACTTTCTTTTTCTTTTCTTGCTTATACTTTTATTTCATTTTTCTCTTCAGGTTGTAGAATCAGCAAAAACAAAACAAACAAAACAAATGACAACAAAAATCCCGACAGTATTTGTGAATATTAAAAGCAGTGAAATACAAACTGAGCTTGCAACATTCGCGTTTATTTAGCACACACTAAAATGTAGATAAACCATGCTGTTGGTGTCTTAATATATTTAACATTTCTTCTTAAACTTTGAGCAGCTCAACAGATCAAAGTCTCTGTTCTTTTGTTTTGTTTTCTTTTGGTGGGATTGTTTTTTTTTTTTAATTTATTTATTTGCTTACTTACCTAAACATAGTCATGGGCTGTAACCACATGACATTAAGCATTATGTTGAGATCTAGATAGAAAAGCTGAGGCAACATAATCTCCCTTAAAATTAAGCCTAAAATTATTCTATATAATAATAGTCTATATAATAATTCTGCATAGGGTATTTCTAACATATTATTTTATTCTGGCATTCAGGTTTTTCTTTAGGTAGGGGAAAAGAACTGAGATAGGGTCTCTTCGTGCAGCCCTGGCTGTCCTGTAACTCACCATGTAGACTAGGTTGGCCTTGAACTCACAAAAATAAGCTTTCCTCTGTCTCCTAAGTGCTGGAATTAAAAGAACATCATCAGATTCAGCTAGCATTTGGATATTTGAGCAAATAAAAAAAATAGGATACCTTATGACTCTGCTTTTCCAATCTCCAAAAGAGCTCTGAAACTTAAATTTAAGAAATTGCACATTTTCACACGAGTCACCTGACAATATAGGAATAATTTCAAAATACGAACACTTTATCATTTACCATCATAAGACTAATGCTTACCCAATAAAGTAAATTCAAAAACAATTCATCAAATTTAAATATTCTTAAACCTTTTATAAAGACACTAATGGACTTAAAATATCGTGTTACCTCGAGGAATAATGTGGAACAAGCACAATGCAATGCTTTGAAATGCCCTAGCTACTGATGGAAGACATGTCGTAGACACAGACAGTGAGCAACCTAAACAGTTAAGAAGCTGCAGAGAAGTACAGATTCAAGTCAATCCAGATACAGCGTCTGAAACTTTAGAAAGCAATCACGACTGCACGAAGGTGGTGATGGCCAGATGACAGAATAGCAACAGCACAGGCAGCGTGAACTCACTCAGGGTGACAAGCGGCAGCTTTGCTCTCTCTGAGGGTGCCAGGCAGGAAATGAAGCACTGGGAACATGGAGACTTGCCTGGCTCTTGGGCTTGGCTTGCCAAACGCACCATCTGAACTGGAGACGGACTGATTTCCGTGCAACACGATTCGGAGTCCTTCTTGCACCCACTCAGGCTTGCCTGGCTTCCTCCGTGTTGCGCTCTGTGACCTTCAATGAAAATGAGCTTCCAGCTATATTTCTGATGGGGAAGGCACGTTTGCTTATAGAAAGTGACTAATATACATTGTGTTCTTCAGATGTACTGACTTAGGAAAATCAAATTAACTATTATAACTACCATTGTTTCTTCCCTTTAGGGAAGTAGACGTTTGCTTTATGGTTTGCCAAACAAAATCCTATTTGACCATTGATATTTGAACATTTTCCATATTCGTTGTTAAATGACAGTTCTTAAAAGCTTATATTCACAGCTCTCATAGAAATACAAGGTGAAGTCGGGACTGGGACAATATCTCAGTCAGTGAACTGTTTGCCTTGTAAGTACAAGGACAGTTCTATCCCTGAATCCATGCTAAAAAGCGAAACAGTTCAATGTGGTAGAGGAAGTTTGTGGCCGCCTGCCTGGGGAGTCAGTGACAAGCTTGATGCCATGGGCCAGCCTAGCCTATTTGGTAAAGTTCAGGTCAGAGAGAGACCTTGTCACAGAAAGATAGTGGGGGACACATGAGGTTGTCCTTCCCCCACTTCCTCACACTTGTGCACTCTCTACATACATGTGCCCATGAATGCACACACACCTAGAGGAATGCATGCGAAATTTATAAAAGTAATAATTTAATGAGGGAGCAGGTTAGATGTTATGACCCCCCAAAGGAGAATTCATTCACCTAAAAGGACAAATAAGGAATGTTAAAATGGCATTATAAAAAGATGAAAAGTAGCAAAATAAACCCATTTCCACAGGCTAACAGTCGATTACGTTTGCAACGGATGCAGTTTGCGTCTACATAGAGAAGAAGCATTTGTGGTGTTACTATTTCCCATAGCGTGTATAGTGTGAAATTGCTGATGTCAAAGGACTCAGGCATCCACAGAATCAAGAGACTAGAAGGGAATGCTGGGGACATGACTAATTTTCCACGGACTACGATAATCTTTCATCCTTTTCTCTAAGGAAGAAGTCATCAAGCAGCAAACATTGCACAGTGCATGTTTTCCTGATGCTCAACACAGAAGAGCACACAGGGCAGACTAAGTTCCGAAAGCGTTTAAATTCATTTTGTTCTTTCTCTTTTTTAAACAATTTATCATATCTTCTATAATTTGTTATGATTTTTTTCTTTTTTCTCAGAACCTATTCATTAAAAATTATAGCTCCCAGATTTAGTTAATTTTTTCATTGTTTCTTGCAGTTCTCAAATAATTGGGCTACAGAAACACTATTTACAAAAAAAGAAATTAATGATTTCAGACTAATCATATGAGACATTTTGTTAACAAGTGCTAAAAGGTAGTATTAGCTTTGCTAACTTACCAGTAAAAATGACTTAGAGGAAATTTTACTTTAATAGAAGTACATAATAAATTCTTTGCCACTTGGAATCATTTATGAAATATATCTGGGGCAGACTAATTTATTTTATGTACATCATACCTTAAAATTATTGTATTTATTTATTTCATGTGTGGGTGTTGGCATGTGTGTAGAAGTCAGACAACCACTTTCATTTCTTTCTTTCCATCATGTAAGTCCTAGGGATAAAACACAGATCGTCAGGCTTGCTGGCAAATGCCTTTATCCACTGAGCTAACTCACTCACTAGCCTTATGTACTCCACGATTTATGGACCATTGTTTTAGAGGGAGTCCATGACTTCAGATTAATAGCATTTGGAGAATATAAAGTTCTTGTTCTGCCAGCAGATCGAAAGATCTGTTGATTCAGGACTAGTAGCTGTTCTCAATGAGATTCCTGCTCCTTGTTCCCACCACTCCCAATCCCTGGGTGTTTGCTGTCCTTCTGGCATCCCTTAGAAAAAGGATGAATGGCATTCCTTTGACATGCAGCCCCAAGAGCTTGCTCTTGGGAATCTGAAAACAGTTGTGCTACACTGAGATGTAGCTTAATATCCTACAGACAATTTTTTGAGTAACATTAGCAAGGAGAAACACATCAGCTCTTGGTTTTGAAAAATGTTCAAGATTTTAACTTCTGGACCCCATCGCAAAGAATTATAGGCAGACTGATGGGCGAGCTTCAGACGTGTGGCACTCTTGCCAACATTGGGACCTTCTATTTCTAGCTCCAGCACAGGGAGAGCTAAAGAGAATCTAACAGTAATACTTGCCCAGTGTTCATGAGACTATGTCAACAGTGTGAAGCTCCTCCCAAACCCTGCTGAGCCTTGTCCCATGTCCACTTTATACCTCTTGCAACAAATGAAGATCAATCACACATTCAAGGCATTAGGATAGGAAGCCAATTGATGATATTGCTTCATATCTTGAATCATGGGGGAAATAGCAAGACTGACTTAATAATCATCTCCTTTCTTTTAGGAATGGATTTTAATATTTGTCACAAGAAACTAAACAACAAAAATACTTTTTTTTTAAATTAATAAGCATTGTTTTCCTTGGCTACTTTATACTTTCTATCTTAATTGAGGAGGTCCGGCCTTTTATTCCTCCTTAGTAAACTAAAAATCATCTTTCATTTGTATTGTCTTTAAACATGGGAGGTTGCATGCTCTGTTTTGGGAATTTTTAGAATGTGGTTTTTCCTTTTTGTTTCATAAGACGTAGTGAAATTATTTCTGCATACACACACATGCACAGAATTTTAAACCAAATAAACTCAATATTTTCATATTTTCACAGCTTCTTTGAGCAGTTCTGCAAGGCCCAATCTCATGGTTGACAAGGACTCCAAAATGAAATTAAATCCTAGCAATACACTTTGGTTTACATGTAAATTGCATATTTTAAGATTGTTTGACATTTTTTGCGCTAGATTGCCCCTCAATAACCCACCCAAGAGTCTTTCCTGCTCACCTTTCTGAAAGAGTTGGGGCCTAGATGTGGCCGGCTTGTGAAGCCCCAGACATGATCTAAACCAACGCCTTCACCTGCTCCATGCTCTCTGAAGAGGGGTGGTACAGGTGGAGGCTGAAACACCCACAGACTTGTATTTGGAATGTTTTGTGTGGAACTGGTTATCCTTTTAGAAGCTGCAGTCCTTAGGCTATGGGGCTGTTGTGGGGAAGCTGGACAGTGAAGGAGGCTTTGAAGGATAGCCCCATTGGTGGCTGCAGCTTGCTCTCTTTGCTTCCTGGTCTATCTCCACATGAACTTCCATTGTTGCTGGCTACGACTATCGTAGACCCAGTAGCTCTGCCGCTTCTCTACTACCATGATTTCTCCTGAAGTTTCTTCTATGAAGTATGTTTTTTACAGCAACAGGAAGAGGAACTAACACAGGAGGGAAGACAAGGGCATTGAACCAGCTAGGATACAAGTTCTAATTTCTCACATCCTGGGCAAGCACATTTCATTGTGGAAATCACTCTCATTTGATAGGAATTTACATTTAAGTACAACACACAGACTGCTTTAAAATGTTGCTGGCACACACACACACACACACACACACAAAATCAGGCCATTATTTTTTAATGAAAATCATTTCCAAAAATTATGCTTCTTTTGCTTCAATTATGTTTTAACTTTATTGTAGTTTTAGAGTCACAGAATTATTACCAAGACCTAAGAGTACCTTGTTTCTCCTGCTCAGAGTCCAGCTACTACTATTAACACCTCACATTATTATGTGATACAATATGGGACATTTTTCACAGTTACCCATTGCTGGCTCATTAGTAATGAAATCTGCATATTGTTCAGATTTCCATGACATGGGGTTTGAAGTAGAATTTAGCACAAAAATAAATCTGCTTTGTTCTAAGATCTCATGAAGGAAGATACATTTCATATCATGACTCACTGTCTTTCGCTTTATTGGTTAGAACCATAAATACCCTGACAAAGTGCATTTATGAAAAGAAAATGTAGAGACAAAAATCCTGTTTGTATTGATTGTTATTGGAGGTATGTATAACCAGGTCACCAGCTGACTGCTTTAACTGCTTGCCTTGCCGTGGTCTTTGTCAGTTTACTCTACTGTGAACTTGAGCCTTTTTCTCTCCCTTTCTGTGCCACCTGTTAAATTAGAGTCACCCCACACAACTCAAAGTGGGAGCTATTTTCAAGTTTAAGAGCAGAGTGTGTACATGAATTATCCAAAGTCTTCCTATATGTGTATTTGTGACAGATTTTATATTTTAGTAGAAATTTTTTTACTAAAATATGTAAAAAAAAATTTGGATTTAAAATTTTATTCCTGTGTTTTAGGGATAAATTTACCCTCCTTGACTCCTTGCTTTTTAATGTTTTTCCTCTCTTTTCTTACCTTCTCCTACATAATTTCTTACTTGATGAGTCTCTATTTGGAGGCAGATACTCGTCGTAGGTTATTGGAATGTCCAATTCAAGAAGCTTCTGTGTCTTTAAGGAGTCATGTTATTATTACTAGAACAGGAAAATATGAATGGATACTTACTATACAGTAATTGTTACAATGATCCATTGAAGCCATAAAAAATATTGAGGGGTAACTTGTCTTGAAGGGTCAGGGAAACCGCCCAGGTTAGATAGTGATTAAGCCCTGAAAGAGGGTTGTCATCTAGGAGAGAGTGCCAAGGAAGCTCAGTATAAAATATCTTGTTAGATTAAAATGAATGACAGCATTGGAGGGCTACCAGACAATTATAGCTGAAGACATAGAGGTGGGAAGGAGTCTGTAGGAACCAGAAACCAGCTTGAATTAGATTTTCTCCATGAAGTAATGCTATAGCCACCAAAAAAAATTGTAAACAAGGAAATGATAACATCATACAACTTCTTTCAAATCTCACCCAGAAAAGACTGATGAAGCTATCTAGAAAGTGTAGAAAGTTGGTCCTTGAAATTTCATATTACTGCATCAGAATGAAAATGATTGGTTATATGTAGTCACTGCCAGAAGGGAAAGAGCAGAGTAAAGAAGTATCTGAGAGATATTTCAACTGAAGCACAGAGTTGAAGCTGAGTGGGGTTGTATGTATCTGTAGTCCTGGCTACTCAGGAAACTTACATAGTGGAATCTCTTCAACTAGGAGTTTGAGACCAAACAAGTAAGACAGTAGCAAGGGAGAGAAGGTAGTGAGCAAATCCTGAGAGTGTAATCAAGGGAAACAAGTATCAGCCATCTTAATCGCCATTCTTGTTAAAGAAATTAAAGTCTTTATGGTATTAAAGGCTCCTTGTATCCAATTTTACCTTGTGCATTTTGTGATGATATTTCTAAGGATGAGGGTCAAGATTTATATAAGACATTAATTTAGAAGGGTCATTGATGTGGGGGTCCCCTCTGTAATTACTAGTCTCTAAATCTTACTAAAGAAGAATTGAAATTAAAATGACTTTAGAGCCAAAGATTCATATATATGGCATGAAAAGAATTTAAGATTAGAATATGTTTCTGCTGGGAAGTAAGTCTTGGGGCTTTTGAACATACAGACTGTGCTAACTGAGGTGTTTAACTGCATTGGCGTCTGTGGTAGCAGCCTAGACTTTAATCTGAAATCGTCTTTTCTCTGGCAGGATGAGTCTTTAAAGCAATTGCAGGTTGTGCATCAGCCATGGCTCTTGCCAAGTGACACAGAAAGTGAAGGCATTGAAGCAGAGCAGGACAAACGTGAGTAGATGCCATGTTCTGTGACAAATGACTTTTACAGAACTTCATAACATGGATTCAGTGTTCTCACTGTAAATGAGAGCTAATGAACTAGCTTTTGAAACATGCATTGTTTTTCTCGATACCAACAGAGCATGGTGAATCTAAAATCTCTTTTATGAATACTGTAGGATAGTGTTAGTGACAATTTGGGAATATTTGAAAATTTCAAAATATCATAGGGTTGGGTAACTTTTATATAAGATATTATACTTATCAGTTAAATTATAAATAAAGTAGTCTTGGAATAAGTAATGTGGAGTATAAAGAGAACTTTCTAAATCTGAAGTAATTACTAACAACCTGGAGCATGCATAGAAAAAACATGCACACACAAGTAAACCCACTCCTCCCCCTGTCTTGTCCATTCATATTTAAATAGACATGAGCACACATGTATTGGTTTTTTCAGTTACTTTCACTGAATTCTTTGGAAGCCTTAATAAAATTTGTACTAAAAAAAAAAAACACAAACAACTGTTGCACGTATTATACAGACATGCTACATGTATGATTTGAGTGAGTTTATCTATCAAATCTAACAAAGGTGCCTGAATTTGGCAAAGCCACCATTCTTTTAGAATGGCATTTGGTAATTGCCTCTGTGTGACTATGGTAAATTAACTAAAACGTGAATACAAGGACCTGTAACAGTGTACTGTAAGCAATCCCGTATTCAGACTTACCTTTTTTCTCCGAAACCTTATGATGAGTTTTTAGACTGGACTTGCATACCCAAGCAATATAAAGGAGATAAGAATCCTCAGAACTTTCTTCAGCCTCAGACATTTAATACATAAAGTATTTTTTCATGCAATCTCTCTAAACTTCTGAATTTTCTCCTCTTCCAATAAGGTACAAAACTAGTAGTTTTTTCATACAATTTAGACACTTAACAACTCTTCACAAATATCTGAAGTATGAATCAATATGAGTCACTGAGTAAATAAACAAGGGTGGGTTTTGGTGTTTTAAAGCTTGTTTATTAAGGAAAATTGATATTAAAAAATTAATAATAATATTATCTATAGTTATACTATAATTTTGATATTGGATGCATAGCTTTATTCATGAATTTTGCTGAGTTATCTATCAATCCTTCTAAGAAGACCATTTATAAATTCTTGAATTCAGACCTAGGACCAAAAATACTTGATCTCAGCAATGCTGTACAAAGAGGTGACCCTTGACAATGGTAAATTGTTTGAAATAAAATCAGGGCTTAAAATAATTAGGTGGTAATAAGAGCCATCTGGAGATGGAATGTTAGCATGCATTGTAGCTGGACTCAGAGCACAGACATGCAAATATTTGTCGAGTGGCTTCCAATAGCCAGGTGCTGGGACATGTGCAAGTTGGAGCCACTGAAACTCTGGCATCTTCTCGACTTGCTCTCCACGTGTGTGGCTTGTGGGACAGCTGGCAACACACAGCCAGATCATCTATGTCTGTTTTCTCAGCGAAAAGAAATAGATGGTATAAATCTGTGTGAGCTGGGAAGCCTACATGGAGTTCATAGTTTTACTTACTGGGAATTTGTAAGTATAGAAGGGAACAAACCTATCTTTCCAGCTCTAATACCTGTTTCTTGACTCACCTTTTTATAAATGATATCCAGGGAATGTTATGAAATCACTTAATTTCTTCTGAGACAAAACCATCATGGAAGAATGTTTCCAGAAAAATCATTGCAGAAGTGCACGTTTCTACTCACATTGCTTTAAAAGAAGATTTAGCCCAAATGTTGTTTAGTATGTACCTGTAAGAAAAGATACTTTTGAACAACTGAAGGCAATTTTCCTTTTTAATTTTTTATTCTAAACAAGCAGAGCTCTTGCTTAAGGAGATTTCCTCTTTGCTCTTTTATTAACAAATTCCAAGCTACAGAATAAACAAGCTCATGTCTAGGGTGCACATATATGTTTGGATATCTCAGATTATAATTCAAAGTCTCTAAATAAATTTATTTCAGATGTCTGAATCTTCAGGAGTTATTCATGATCCAAAATCAGCTCTGTACATTGTATATGACTCTGATTTCTGCATTTTAAATATATCCTTGGGTGATTATTGCTTATCCTAAAAAAAATGACAACTATTGCAAAGAGAAGTTCAAGGAAATAGAGGCTGCTGCTCTCAATATTGATTTCACATTGGTCCTCCGCTCTCTAGATCTAGAGGTCAAGTTTGTATATAAAATATGAGATAGGGGAAGAAACAAGAGTAGAACTGGGAGTGGGCACAGAGAGAAACGAGGAGCAGATCCTCCATACTGAAGTTTAATGTTTATAAAGTCATAGATGAAATGCCAGACAGCATTCTTTTCAATTTTAGATTTTTCACTAAGATTTTTAAAACTGAAGTTGCATAGCTATTTTAGTTCCCACTCCCTCTCCTCCTCCTGCCCCACCTTTTCTTCCCATCTTCCCATCCACTCCTCAGAAAGGAAAGGCTTCCCATGGAGAGTCAACAGGGAAACAGTCAAGCATTTTTTTTTAATTATGTCTTGTATTTTTTTTTAAAAAAATATTTTTGTGTGGGGACACTACATGGTCCTGGTGTACTATAGTTCTTTGAAAAAGGTTCACTTGCAATGTACAATGCCATAAATGTCATCTTTAGCATCATAAACTAACCAAAAGCTAAAAGTAAAAAAGGAAACAAACAAAATTCCCAACTACAAAATTGCCACAAAACAATAGATGTCTAAAATGAAGAAGTGCCAGCCAGGCATGTAAATTGCAGCTATGATGCCAGCACCCTAGAGGCTGCCAGAGAATGATTCTGAGCCTGTGACCAGTCTAGGGTACACAACCAGACCGTGGCTCAGAAAACAAACAAGGGTCAGGAGGGTATTTAAAGGGTAACTATTCTGTGATGCATTGAGATGTCAGAGGCGGCTTAAGACTCTAGGAACTCTGAGTTGAAATCTATTGAGAGAGGGCAGTGAACACTGCCCATAGGTCAGTGTTGTTGCACCATCTGCTTTATATGACCTAACATTATGGGTTATTCAAAGCCTTTGGTTCACTTGCAGAACTGTGGATAATTTTGATGATTATTTTTGGCCGATTGCTATGGGAGCTGATTTTTGGTGATGCACATGCCACCGTTCAGAAAAACTTCTGTTCACAGTATTCCTTTTTGCTTCATCCAAGTTTTCACTCTCAGAAGTAGAAAAATGACATTTTACCATGGCGTATCAAGTTAGACAATATCTGCTAGAGTCTTGGCTTCAAAAGAAACTATTACAAAGCAAAATAGGTTCTTAATAAAAAATATAGTGTTGAAATAAGAAGCGGCGGGGCTGCGTCCCCAACACCCCGGCCGCTTGGCTAGCTCATGCCCGAAATAACAACACACAAACTGTATTCATTTAAGAACTGCTTGGCCCATGAACTCTAGCCCTTACAGGCCAATTCTCGCATCTGGACTAGCCCATTTCTAATGATGTGTGTAAGCATCCCAAGGTGCGCTTACCGGGAAGATTCTAGCCTAAGTCCATCGTGGGTTGCATCTGCCTGGGAGAGCTGAGCATGGCGTCTCTGCTCCAGCAGAGCTGTCGGGTCTCTCTGGGAGCAGAGCAGAGTCTGACCTCACTTCCTCTTCCGCCCAGAATTCTATTCTGTTTACTCCTCCCATCCAAGCCATGAGGCCAAGCAGCTGGTTTATTATAACTTAACCAATGAAATCAACAGATTGATATATGACACTCCCACATCAATATAGTAAAATACCTTTGTGGAACTTTACTTATTGCTGTATTTGCAACTTTAAGTCATTGATGTGGTGACAGATTATCAAGAGGGACAAAGTTAAATGAACACACCAAGCACACAGATTATACTGGGTTAAATGGTGGAAATATTTCCCATTGTTTGGATGGAGGAAATGCTTCTGATATTCTTCTAAAATATATACATAATAAAATCACTGCATAGTTCTACAGAAACTGGCTTTGTTTGATTCGATTAAGAATGCCCTTTGAAGAATGCCCATTTATAACTTGTGGACTATGCTTCTGTAAGAACAGATGCTCTGGTTTTTAAGAGATGTCTATCAAATCTAATCTCCTCAGTCTTACCTTTTTCAACCAAATAATGGAAAATTTGGAGCCCCTAAATCCCGTTTCCTCATTCATGTCCCTTTATTACTCAAAGAGAAAAGACCAGATCCAAGATCGTCTGGCCAGTTCCTGGTACTGGAATACCCCTATTCTATTGATGTGAGATTCCTCTCTGTATGCTATTAATATGTTTTATTACCATTGATTAATAAAGAAGCTACTTTGGCCTATGTCAGGGCAGAGCAGAGTTAGGTAGTAAAACCTAAACTGAATTCTGGGGAGAAAGAAGGCAAAGTAAGGGAGATGCCATGTAGCTGCTGAAGGATAAAAATGCTGGAACTTACTGGTAGGCCACAGCCTCGTAGTGATACACAGATTAATAGAAATGGATTAATTTATGACATAAGAGCGAGCTAGGAATGCGCCTAAGCTATTGGCTGAACAGTGTTGTAATTAACATTGTTTCTGTGTGATTATTTGGGTCTGTCAGCTGGTAAATGAACAACAAGCTGTCTCCATTTACATCCTATACTTCATTTATGACCTCCCTTCAAATCATTGCCAAGGGGTGATTGTGACTCTTTAGATCGGAGGTGTATAGGGGAAAAATAGAGTCACAGATTTGTTTATGTGTCTAGGCATTTCACATTGAAGGAAAACTCCTTAGCACTACCTAAGTTGTTTCTTTCTAGACAGTTTCCCAATCTTTGGCTTTGAGTTGTGTGTATAAGATAAGGCTGTTAGAGTTCCACAGGTGATTATATTACCATGTCCAAGACAAAGCTCCCATGGGTGGCTCTAAAATATGGAAGGGTAGAAAAGGTGTTGTCTTAGTCAGGGTTTCTTTTGTGGCAATGAAACACCATGAGCAAAGTCAAGTTGGGTGGGAAAGGGT